GTGGGTAAGAGAAATTGATTGTGTTATATTAGGAGATTGAGTTCCGAGGCCGTGGAGAACTAGCTGTCTGGATTCCATTTTGATGTGGCAGATGGGCTGCACTTTGCTGTCACTAATGAGTTGTCGAATTTTTATTATGTGTAGTGGGTTTTATATATATATATCTTATTTGTTTATATATATATTTGAGGTATCTTTTGAATTTGTTGAGGTCTTTTTTTGTGCTTGAAGAATGCTTCATATTATTTCAGTATTTTGTGGTAGGAGTCTGACGTTTTTGATTACGATGATTTGGGCGGTGGTCGTGTGTTTAAGCAATGTTCATCAGCTTGATGATGTAAGAAGTTGAATGTTGGTCTGGCATGTTAAGTATTGACAGATGGTGAAGGTTTAGAGGTTATGATTTTTTGGGTGCTTTGTTTTTTTAGCTTGGTTTTAGTTTGGCAGACATGATGTGTTTAAGTTTTTCATTATCTGCTCTTATTGGTTGTAACTTTTAGGATAGGTGTCGTAGTGCTGTATTTTCTATATGTGTTGTGTGGGGTGTTGTTGTGTTTGTTGGTGTTTAGGTTTCTGCTGGTTGTTCTAATTTTTTCATACTTGGGTAGGTCTTTTTCAATGTTCAGTGGAACACTTTTTTCTGTTAGTATCCGAGTTTTTAGTGTGGGCTGGTTTTTTCCACTTTTTGTTCTTCTTATTTGTGGTCTAATCGTAACTGTATTCTTTTTATCTTTCGGGGTCTATGCTGTTCTGGAGGGCATTTGGTTTGGTTGCGGTTTTAGTATTGGTGGAGTCTTTTGTTGAGATTCATGTTGGCTCTTGATCGTGGAGTCAGAAGAGACGGGTGGCACTCGTTTAAGAGGAGAGGTGGAGGATCCTTTCTGGAAGACTTCTAGAGTATCAAGGCGGCGGACGGGGACTATGGAGTGCGGACTTTTTTTGAGTTTTGATTAGCAGTGACGGGTAGATAGGAGCCATTGGCGACCCATAGAATTACTTTGAAAACACGTAAACAGAAGAGAAGATGATATTTGATGGATCTCTCTCGCTCGCACGCTCGACGTGACCCCAATGCACGCAGGGGACAGGCGGGTAAGGTTCAAGCGGAGCCGATGGTCGAGAACAAGGCTGGGCGGGCAAATTAATGTAGCAAAGGCGGGATACGAAATTGCTGGAGGTGTTAGCAGCGGCGAATGGTTGGGAGTTGGGGGATGTAGACCGTCGAGTGCGGAATGAAGGACGAGACGGGAGAGGCGGGGAAGCAGGGTCGCGATGGGCGGAATATTGCGCGAATAAGCCGCGTTGCGCCGACGGCGACCCCATCTCTTCTCACGGCTCGGGCTATTTAATTAGAAGCGCGGATTTAAAGAGGATCGGCTTTTGGTGGCACCTTCTTCCCCACCCCTCCATGCCTCTGCGCGGATCGCAGCGGACGAAAGAGGGGCCGCAGGAGTAGCAATTAGCGGTTAACTGGTTCGTATTTTTTTTTAGCTCCTTCCCGAAAATCTCGGTTTCGGTTTCCGGGTTCTGGGCGATAAAGGGAATCCGTCGTTGTAATGGTTTTCGGAATTACCTGCGACGCTATCATCTACATCAAGGGTTTTCGACTAAGATTCGAGGAATACAACTGATACTCATAATCGGGATATAGAAGTAAAAAGGATTTCGTGAACACATATTTTCTGATAATAATTATGATCAATGTTGAGTTATTGATTCATATGAGTACGAATATGGAATGTGTTGATTCAGTTCGAAATGCCAACCTTTCAAAATTTATTTTCAATTTCCAATTTTAACTAAATAGAAACCCTCTGACAAATTATTGTCTAACATATTTCTTTTTAGTCAAGCTACAATTGTACAAATTGTAAATAAAAATGTCTTTTTTAACTTGTCAATTATTCCGACTCAGAGTGGATTGTTGGCATAAATGTTTGTTTTCAAACTAGGAGTAAGTTTTTCGAGTAAATTGGGCGGCAAAATAAATGAAATTTTAGAATCATAATTTTTTCTCAAAATGGCTCCACATTAAAAACTTTTGGAATAGATAGAGGCTAAATGTACTGACTAGCATGACATCAACGTAAAGTATGATATAACCTTTTAAATTTATAAATAGTTCATACTGTCCATTTAATTTTATCTTCACAATCCAAGACAATGTGAAGTACATTGTATAAACGGAAGTATATACTGCTGCTGGAAAGACGCCATTTCTAGGCCTCAGAAATGGTCGTATAAAACTCCTGATACCACAAAAGGTGATAATTCTTGTTTTTTATTTATAGTAATTCCTCTGCGCGTAACACGTTTTGGTAGTCCAAAACCATTTTTGGTTAGTTCCTTGATTCGAAAATTGGTTTTAAGATACAACATACGAAGTATATCTGTCTGTGAATAATACTAGCGGGTTAAACTTGGGCAGCTTTCACAAAAATTTATTTTACCCGATCGATTTATTGATGTATCTGTCTCTTGAATTTGGAAAATGGATACTTTGTTTATAGGGGATACCTTACACGAAGTCCCCAGAGCATTTTTCAAATTTTCTCTAAAATGTTTCCTAAGTTTTTAATTTTTGTTTTTCCTATAGCAAAATATCACTTACAAAAAGGTTGAAGGATCGAGTTTCGTTGATCTTTATAAAAGGCCACGTGTAACTTTGTTTCAAAAATATCAGTAGTTTTCGAGTAATTGCGCGAAATAAAAATGCAATCTAGAAGATAATTTTCTCAAAATTGCTCGCAAGATTAAAAACTTTTTGAATTGCGATAAACCTAAATTGTTACTGAATAGCCTGACATAAACCTTTTTAATTGGTATAAATCTACAAAATCGTTGTTCAAGTAGAACTACTATACTATGTAACCGGTCACAAAAAATGCGAGAAAGAAACATGCGGTTATTCAACCACTATGTTAATGTATATTGCTCAACGTAATTTTTCTCACCACTTTCTCTTTCTAGTTGTGTCCAGGCACAGGATTTGGAAATCTGCACCATTTCAACGCTCTCTTTAACGCATGATTTCCTAAAACCAAGAATGTGTTTTGTTATGGTGGTATATTTGCAATCGAACA